ATAGATATATAGTTTCAAGAATCTTAATAAAGTACTAGCGTAACTGCTTAAGGTTAAAAAAAAAAAAAAAAAAAAAATAGTGAAAAGTAGCAAAGCAAAAATCAAAAGGAAAAGCTAATTAAGAATAATATATCTCTATGATAAGACAAAAGAGAAAGAGTAGAAGAGTTATGCACAAGAGTTACAAAAGTGATTAGAGATAAAAAAAAACTTTAAGAAACATACAAAATAAAGAACAAGAGAAAAAAAAAAAATACAAAAAATTAACACAATATATGAAATATAATAGAAGAGGCAATTATAATAGCAGCAAACAAATATATATCTAAAAAAAAGTCTACAATATGATGATAAAAAGAAGGCATAGTCAAAAAAATCAACAAAAAAAAAAAATCATTGTAGAGTTTTAAAGACTAGTCAAGTATGCAAAGATAAGCATAGTTAAAAATCTATTTATTAGTTGATTAAATTTAGAGCTGCATGTGATTTTCAAATTATATGACTTACTTATTAACCAATCAAAATTAATATTAACTTGCTAAACTCAGATGATCACATTTGATTGATTAGAGTTATAATAATTAGTTAATAGAGTTTTTAGATTTTATGATCTGAATTTTAGCATCATCTATAACATTAAATAAAAATTTTAACATTAACTTTTATGACCTATATAGAAAATATTTTGATATATCAAATTCATTTGATCAACTTATAAACCTCACTATATTAAGCTTTAACTATATATTAAAATAAATTTATTAATATTAAAATTTTTCAAAGTTACAAACACTATAAAATATTTATTTTTTTATTATATATAGAAAATTACATTAACTAATTTTCAAATTTTTAGCAATGATTAGTACAAAAATTAAAGAATATTTGTAATATCACATAATAAATTATAAGGAGTATAAGAAAACTTATTTTTATCAGACAAGTTAATTGATCCAAAACATGAAGAATTTTCTACAAATGCTAAAATAATATAATAGTATTTAATTAACTATATTATATTGAGATTAATAAAACTTGATTTGTATACCTGCTATTCTTTTATTTAATTAATTATTTTCAATTTTTAAATTTGATTTTTCAGCTTTATTCAAATCACAATCTTTTGGTAATAAAATATTATTATTATTTATATTTGATTTATTTTTTTTATCCTCTTCTGTTGAACATAATCATTGATTATATAAATATGCTAAATCATTAATTGCTTTAGATAAATATAAAAAACAAAATATTTACATTATAAATCTTGTAGTTGAAAGCACTTTTTATGATAAGCATATTTATATATTAACACATTAATTCAATTATTTGCTATTTAAAAACAATTAATTCGATCACAAAAATTATGCTGACTTGATATAGTTTGTGAATGATATTCTAATAGTAAAGCACCTAATGAGAATCTATATTCGATATATAGAAAGTAATAATAAACTTTTTTAACAATTTTTCCTTCAACTTTTTTTTTATTTTGCCTTGATATTTTCAAACATTTTCAAAAAAATCTAAAAGAAAGATTGCTGTAACATTAACTAATTCATCAAAATCTTTTTTGTATATAGATAATCATGTTTAAGTATAAATAACTTAATAAAATCATTATTTTGTTGAAGATTATCTATAAACAAAGCATCACATCTAAGTGATTTTGCTGTATTAACTTTAGTATTTGTGTCTATCGAAGCAAGCTATGGAAATTTTCAACTGAATACTCATCAAATATATTTAAATAATTTTTCAAAGTATCTATTATAGAATGTCCAGTCATTTTCTAGTAATAAATGTCTAAAATAAATACAAGTAAAATCTTATCATAGTTATGGCGATTAAATTTTTTCATAACACTCTATAGTCTAAATACAGTGCTAACATATTCATCAAAATAATTGCTTTAAAACAAAATAGATATATGTCAAGTATCACTGGTACTAAATTGTTTAATAAATCAAAAAATGTTCTATATCCTATATTTTTTGAGAATCTAAATCTTACTACTACATATTCTTTAACTATTTGCCAGCCTACATATGCTAGATAAAGTAAAAGATTAATTTACCAAGATTGTGGCTTAGCAGCAAGTTTTGTTTTTTACTAAATATAGTTTGGTATAAAAGATCAACAAAACTCCAAAATACTAAAAAAACTGATTCATGTATATTTAATGATAGGTGAAGTGCACCAAGAAATAAAACCAGATAAGTAATTTCTTTTGGAATCTTTAAGTTGTTTAATACTAATCTTTGAATAATAGCTTTTCTAATATTTAGTTGTTTAGGAAAGTCTGCTAGAACAAGAATTATAGAATTACTTAAATATTCCTGTATTTCAGATAATCTTTTAAAATATATATTGTTAATTTTTAAATATATTATTATAATAATTTTACAAAATTAATTAAATTTACGAACCCTATAAATGTTTTAATAACATCAATATAATTTTCTATATTTTTTAAATCTAATTCTATTAAGTCAATAAGTTTTGTTTGATTAAATTGATGTCTATATCTTTTAAAAATATTAGCATCATAAGAATGTACTATTAGTAATTTAATAAGTTCAGATTCATTTGCATATATTATATTATGAATCCACTTCCAATTAATTTTTTCAAAATTATAACTGTTGGCAAATAAAATCATATACTGTTCCTAAAGAATAGTTTTAAGAAGAACAGAGTCTACACCATTAAAATTGTAACTAAAAATCTATATTTAGAATAAAAAGGAATCAGTAATGCTTTTGCTATATTAAACAATATAGTTGCCATATGTGCTATCTGAGATATTGACATTGCATTAGGTATTCGTATTCTATAAAGATTATAGTAATCATTGATATAGTAAACTATATGATTATTTGACTATAATTTAGCAGTAATTTACTAGATATTACTATTACATTAATTTTAAATATAAATTTTAAATTTAAATTTTACTTACACAATTTCTAATATATTTTTGAATGTTCACTTTATGGGATTTAACAATCTCCTCAAGCTTATTATAAACTGTTTGGTAAGTTGTACATATTTCCATATTAGCTATAGTATTTATACAATGTGCTGATGCCCCTAACCTTAACATGAATAGTCCAATTTCAGTTTTTACATTAGTTATTTGTTTGTTTCATAATCTAGCTATCTGATAACAAAGTAACATAACTTTTTAGTATAGCAACTCTTTGGTTTGTTGGTTTTTTTCTCCAGGATATATAGCTAAAAAGAATGCATTAAACAGTCTTTTTAATTTTAGTTCATGACTCTTAATTATTTTAATAAATTCTTGTATATCAAAAATAGGTGGATTTTTCTCACATTAATTATTATATAGTACTTTAGTAAGATAAGAAATCTGAATATCAAGAAGCTTTAAAAAATTTTCAGATACTATAAATATTTTATTTTTAAAAATTAAAATTTGTAATAACAATATTTTCTTAAATAAAATATTAAATATGACTAATTAAATTACCGTCTATTGTTTCTAAACTTCTAAATTGATCATATATTAATTCAACACTTTGAATATTATAATCATCTTTGGATACACCACTTTCTTTTGCTATTTAAGATAATTTTTTAAGTTTATTTCCTTTATTTGTCAATTTACCTTTAACCTTCACCTTACTAATACTTTCAGTATTATTTTCGATTATATTTTCAAGTGGTTTATCATCACTATCCTCCAAGGCTTCTTCAAAATCAATCCTTTCTTCCTTATCTAATTCAATTAATTTTTTCTCTCTTTTAACTTCAGCTATAGGTAAATCATTCATATATATCATTTTGCCCTATGATCGCACTCTTAATCAATTATTAGCACCTTCCAGTTTATAAGATAAGTTGATGCCTTTTTTTGATACCTTGGTTTTTTTTTTTTTCTTGATCATATACAACATAGTTATTATAATAGAGTTGACATAGCTGATCATTAATCTGAAGCTTATTAGTAATAGCTGAACTTTCTTTTACTCTAGCAAATAAATGCTTAGTTAGTTTTCTAAACTTTTCTTTAGAACCTTAACAACCATATATAGCACAAGGTCATTCATTCTGATATCAGTTTACTTTTGACATTGTTGCTAAGCAAATTCAAAACTAAAATAGGATCAAAAAAAACTATTTCAGAATCACTAAAGTAAACATTATAATGAACCTCTAACTAAAATCTTTGTTTGCTTTATTATGTAGTGTCTCATAACTTAAATATATAGCTTTTTAGATATCTGATATATATTTAATTAATTGTTTTGATTGGTTCATATCACATGCAACTCTAAATTTGATCAATCAATAAAATAAATTTTTAACTATGCTGCAAAGATAAAAAAAGGGCAGAAAGTTGCAGAAACAAATAAAAATGAAGTAAATAGAAAACTCAAAATATTAGACAAGAAAATCAAGTATAAAATTACTAAAAATTCAAAAACAATGATCTGATGCTTTAATAGAGAACATAAAAGACTGACAGAAAATTCTTTTAAGAAAAAAAAAAAAATTAAGAACAAAAAACAAAGAAGACAAATTGAAAACAACATAGACAAAAGTTGTGAAATGATTAAAACTGATTAAGAAAAAATAATAACCAGCCTTTTAAACAAGCTATACAAGAAGGTAATACTTGACAGAGTAATTAAACAAACAGAAGAAGAAACTAGATTAGTAACAGAATTAGAACTAGTCAAAAAAATAATAATAGAACATTATAATAAGCAATTTAAAAGAAGAAATATAAAATTAGAAGAAATGTCAAAAAGCTGAAAAGAAATATATAAATCACAAGACTATATTAAGGAAGAATAGTATAAGTAAATCTAAAAGAAAATTGTAAAAGAAGAATAAAAGAAGATAATTAAAAAGCTCAAAACAGAAACATCTTTAGAAATATTAGGAATAAGTTACATTCTAATTAAATAAGCAGAGAGAAAAACACAAGAGGTTTTCAGAACTTATACAAACTTGTGCTTAAAGATAGAAGAAATAATAATAAAATAAAAAATAACACAAATATACCAAATACCAAAAGACATATAATGGAAATACAATTTAAACAATATTTAACTAATAGCACTAATTGAAGCATTTAGAAAAGTAATAACAAAGTTAATAACAAAAAGGCTTAGTAAAATATTTGTTAAGAAAGAAATACTTAAAGATCAAACTATGCAGACCTACCAGAAAACTTAACAGAGCAACCAATATATATCTAAACATAATGATAGAAAAAATAAGAGAAAACAATAAAGAGTTATAGATATTTCTGCAAAATATAAAAAAGGCATTCAACTTAGTTTTATTTAAAAGTCTTAAGCTAGCTTTACAGTAAGTCAAAATATCCAGGACAACAATCAAGTATATCTTAAACCTCTTTTATAAAAGGTAGCTTAAAATAATTACAGCTTATGGCTTAACAGAAGAAATAATAGTAGGTAATGAAATAAATCAAAGTAAAATAATATTATTACTAATATAATGGCTTTTTTATGATCTACTACAAATAAAGATACAGAAAGATAAAGGTTAGGTTATATAGTAGAACAAGAAATTAAAAAAGAAATACAGTGTAATAACATTACAAGCTACTGCCAAACAGCAATTATATACATCAATAATACAATATAGATTGCAAATAATAAAGAACAATTATTAGAGACTCTAAAGGTGCAGAAGAGTTCTTTAAAATGAATAATATAGAGATAAACAGATATAAATCAAAACTAATAATAATGAACAAAAAGTTAAAAAAGAAAAAAAATAAATAACTTTTGGAGAAACTAAGTTAATAGAAGTGCCAAGAAACAAAAGTCAAGAAACAAAATAGTTTGTTTATTAGAAATTTGACTAAACAACAGAATGTAAGAAGTTTTAGTAAGGAAAAAAGCAAAAGGAATGATAAGCCAGACAATAAGAGACCTTAAGTAAAAAAAAATAATAATGAGCCAGATTATATATATAACAATTTAGTAATAATACTAAAATTAAGTTATATGTTGCAACTAATAAAAATATTAAAGAAAAAAATAAATAAAATATACTAACCAATGATATGTTTGGCAAAATAAAAAAGCAACTTATCAAAAATACTAAAGAACTGCATACTAGAACATAAGAACCTTAGTAGTTGCAAAACTCTGTAATAAGAACTAATAATAAAACAAATAGAAAACTTAGTAGTAAGATTAAACAAAAAAGATTAGGATTCCTTAAAACCAAATTAAATCTAATATTGGGTTGATTTAAATTTGATCAAATAAAATATTTTTTTGATTTGATTTGATTTGATCAAATATTTGAATCATATATTTGAATTTAATTTGATTTTCAAAAAATTTTAAAATTTTTGATCAATAAAAAAAATTTAATTTATAAAATATTTTACTATGTTAATCGATTTTGAGCTCTTAAGTAAAGTATTCATCTAAACAAAATACTCATAGTTTCATAAAATGAAAAAGTTAATTGTCTTAATAAATTTTTGAATAAATGGCTTCTAATTTTGAATAATCAATTATAAAATTTTAAATCAAATTAAATATTTGTCAAATCAAATCAAATTTAATCATATTTGAATTTGATTTAATTTGAAAATTTCAAATTTAAATTTGATTTGAACTTAAATATTTAATCAAATCAAATTAAATCAAATTACAGAACCCTAAGAAAGATAAACTAGAGCAGCTAACAAAATGAAGAATAACACAGGGTTGTTATAGAGCAAGTTTAACAGAAAATATGAAAAATAGAAAAATTGCCAGAAAACAAGTCATATTGAAAAAACAATTTAGTCTGTCTAATGATAGTTAAAGCAAAAGAGTTAGGAATAAATATAAGCACAGAAAGTAAATTATAAATAGCAATTAGTTATAATTTCAGAATAATCAAACTAATAGAATTATGACTATAAAAAAGAAGCAGAACCAAAATAAATAAAGCTAAACTAATATATTTAAATCAGCTACTCAATGTAAAAAGAGAAAGACTAATTACATGGTAGCAATTTAAAAACTACTAGAAACAATTGAATAAAGCAAAAGACAGAGTAGTTCAAGATAATAAAAACAAAAATGCTTAATAGAATTAAAAGCAGAAAAGTTAAAGAACAATTCAAAATAGGCAGATGTAATATACAGGCAATAAAGATTAATTGAAGAAGTTTGTTAAAGAACAGAAAAAAAAAGAATAGTAGTACATGGTGTAATAAAGAATAGGCAATTAGGAAAAATAGTTAAAAAGAAAAAGAAAAAGCTATTAATAGAATATTGGCAGATGTATAATATAGAAAATAATTTAATAACCAAAATTAACAAATCAAAAAGTGTATGAAAAAAGAAAAAATGATAAGAAGTAGTTGTTAACATTAAATAAGAATTAACAACAAGATAAATATAGTTCCAGATATACTAATAAAGAGAAATAATAATATAATTAAAACAGCTACTAACTAAATAATAGAATATATAATAAAAGAAGAGTTAAGAGAAAATGAACAAAAGATAATAGAATTTAAAATGTTAAAAGATTTAGGAATAGAGTTAGTTATAAAACAAAAGCTAAAAAAGAACATTAGTCAAGAGTTAATAGAGATCTTAAAAAGTAATATATAAAAAGACAAAAACAAATATATAATATATACAGATAGTGCAGCAAATAGAAAAAACAAAGAAAAAACAATAGATAAAAACATGGGTATAACATAGGTATAAACAAGTGAAGCACAAAATTGATCAGAAGAGAAGGTAGTATTAGAGATAAAATGATGGCCTACATAGACTACAGCTAAGGTTCTAGCAATATAGGCAGCAGTTTTAACAATACCAAAAAAAAAAACTAGAAATATATACAGATAGCAATGTAGCAATTAGAAATATTAGTAAAGACTTAGTATGTATAAATAGAAATAAAATTCTTATGAAGAAAAATATATTATGAATATTGAAGATAACTGATGTACTTAGAACAAAAAACATTTAGATGAAATGGTTCAAAGTAAAAAGTCATAGTAAAAACAAATGAAATAACAAAGCTGATAGCCTTATGAAAAAGAGTTATTAAGCAAAAAGATAATTTTTCTAGAAGAAGTTAGTTATAAAGAGATAGAGTATTGCCTAGAATAGGAAAACAAGTGAATAGACTTATCAACAAAACTACTATATAAAATAGTAACAAATGCCAGATTGGGAGTAGAGTTGAAGAAAACAACAATGATCAAGAATATAGAACTAGTAACAAAAACAAAGATTTATAATTGGACATACTTTTGAAAAAGGCTAAAGTTATCTAAAAAAAATACATTGTTTGACAAGAAGAAGCAACATAAAAAGAAGTGCTTTCATAAAATGTATATTAGACAAACTTTTAACTTTAGAAAAATTTAACAAAAGAAAACCAGATATATACACAATAGCAGAATGGCAAGTCTGCCAAAACAAAGCCAAAAAAATATAAGAATATTTGATATCTTGTAAGAGACAAACAAACTTATAAAAAAAATTACAAAAAGTATCTATTGCAATAGCATAAAAAAGTTTAAAAGAAGAAGAAAAAATCTGGTCTTATTTTAAATATTATATATGACATTTTTTAAAAAAATAAAGAGAGATAAAATAAAAATAAAAAAAGCACTAATCAAAAGCTTAATTTCAGAAGCAAATCAGAACAGATTATTGTAAATTTTAAGTACAAAACAAAATAACAGTTCATGAACATAGTAACAGAAATAGCATAAAATATATTTTATGAAAAGTCTAAAGAATATATTGTGAAAAGGTTAATGTATAGAAAAAAG